TTCTCTGCTGCTCATCAGGAAGCCGGCTCCGAGATTCTGCTGTGCATGTCTTTGCCTTGGTGTGTTTTAGATCATATGGAATAAGCCTGGTATTTTCAGCTGATCTTCTCATTGCCAAAATATCCTTGTAAGAATGATCTAATAGGATATTTGAATTCCTGTGAACATTTGCAAGTATGATTCTCTTTGCTGTGGTGGAGACGGCAAACCTCTAAATTTGCAATCATCCATACTAATTTCCCTGTTTAAGAGAGTGGCACTTGGAAACGGGGACTTGGATTCGCAGAGAGCTTTTAGATTATACTCTTAACAGCGATGCCTGCAAATGTCATGAATCTGAATGTAAACCTTTTCGCGAGATCCGCACTATCCTTGTAAATATTAACGTTTTTGTTTGTTTTGTTTTTGTTTTGTTTTTGAGACAGGGTTTCTCTGTGGCTTTGGGGGCTGTCCTGGAACTAGCTCTTGTAGACCAGGCTGGTCTCAAACTGACAGAGATCCACCTGCCTCTGCCTCCAGAGTGCTGGGATTAAATGTGTGTGCCACCACCGCCTGGCTGAGCAACAGTTTTTTAAGAAGCACTTTGACCTTGAAGACTCTATAGAAAACAGTGGTTGTTTCACGTGATCTCTAGAATTGTTTTGCTGAAGGGAAATTGTAGCCCTTCCATGACTTTGGTCACAAGACACTTCAGGCACCTGAGGCTCTTGTGTTACTGTGTATTACAAACAATACATAATAAAGGACTAAAATCTTGAGGGCATGTGATGCTCTCCTCTAGTAAGAAAGATAAATTAGATGAGGGACCTTTGCATGAGGAAATACTTTGTGTAACTTTCAATGAATAAACTTTTGCATCACTGATCAGTTCATCAGAGAGGTAGGATCTTCCTGCTGCCACATAGGCCTCCAATTTTCATCTTTGAGTGACTTTTTTCTTCAGTTGACACAGAAACATGGTACACCCTGACATTGCAGAGTGGCATCAGTGTGGTTTCTGTGACTGAGAATTGTTTCCTTGTAGTCTCCCTTGCTGCTCCTCAGTATTTCATGACAAACTAATCTGCAAGTGTGTGAGCTTTGTGTGAGTGAGTCCACATCCCACAGAATAAAGTGGAATCCTCAAAGGAAAAGGAGAATTTTCATAAATGTTCTCTCTTCTTCATGTGTGTCCCTTTGGGTGGTGTAAGCATCTATCATTATTGGTCCGTGGTCAATTCAGAACCTCACTAGTGTGTGACATCCTTCGTCTTCCCAATCTTTCACTTCCATTTCTGCCCATTGGGTTTGACTGAGCTGTGTTTGTAAGTGGGATTCAAGAAATGCTAACTAAAAGTGCTTTCTAAATATTTCCAGTATTCTGACACAGCATGACAGTTAGGAAGTCATTTGTATAATCCTGTCCTTAGTGTTCTCTTCATCTACAGAGCACAGCACTGTGTTAGAAATCCAGGGGCTTCCTGAACAATCTCTTTCTCATGTGCAGGTTCACTGATCACCCAGACCTGCTCACCTGTGCAGCAGAGCAGAGGGGCCTGGAAGGAGAGAGGAGACAGAAGCTAAAGATGCAGGTATGGTGGAGGGATTGGAGAAGGAGGGGGAAGGGATGGAGTGAGTGGGGAAATGGGACAGGAAATCAGTTCAGCCACATTCTGTTTCACTAGAAAGAATTCTGGAGCCTTAAACTGGCAAAAACCTCCTCAGGATTATCTTAATGCAGGCAGGAAAAGACTTTCTTCAGAACAATTGATAACGGTGTCTTCCCTCGATTTTTATTCTTTGGGAGTGAAGTGAAATAGTCTTCAAAAGTGCTGAAAGTGCTATTTGTCTCAGTTGTCTTATGCATACTCTCAGGAAATTTTGGATGACATCAAATATTCCTGATGCAGATTTTACTATGTGTTCATGGTGGCTAAAATACTCATAAAATTAATTCCATATAGTATTTATCCTATATGTCAATGTTAAAATTGACAGTATGTCATGCTATTACAATCCCTACTACTCTGAAAAAAAATGAAAACTCTTTGTTTATAAAATCAGTCCTATATTCTGTAGTCCATACCTACTCCTTTGCTACTCAGTGGTGGGGCATTGTACCTAGAGTGTAAATATCCCCACGGAGCCTGTTTGAATAGAGTCGTGTAAGGGCCAAGTACACACAGGATGAATTCAGTGTCAGTGTTTCAGCGTGATCTAAGTTACATAGCATCTAAAGAACACTTCCTCATGAATTTGCCTTCTGAGACATTTCTCCTGTGGGACATGAACACAGCATCCATAACATATAGATAACCATGTACAGACCTTAAGTGTATTTCTTGTTTCATATATACTGCTTGTGAGACTCTTGTGTCAATGTGTGTACACAGAGTTAGAATGTTCATGATAGGATGTGACTGTATTGGAAGTCATACTGTGTGTCTCCTTTTAGCCAGGAAAGCACTACCAGTTAGTGCTTGGTCAACCCTTACTTTTTTGTTTCAGGATCTGGTGACATTCAGTGATGTGACTGTGACCTTCTCCAAAGAGGAGTGGGAATGCATGGACTCTGCTCAGTGGAATTTGTACACTGATGTGATGCTGGAGAATTACAACAACCTGGTCTTTGTGGGTGAGAACATTTTGCTTCTAGAATTCCTAACACGCCTTTTGTTTGTTGTTACTTCATAGGTTGTAAAATCTGTGAAGCTGTCCTGTAAGAACTAACAGTAGACAAGGCAAAGTATAGTAGTAGGAAAGAGCATTTTCATGCCATTTAGTTTTCTCTTTCAATTTTCCATTTTTAGAGCTGTCATCCAACCTTCATTTTGGTTCCAAGATTCATAGGTAGACTCAGTAGCATATAAGGTTTCTACCATATCTTAAAGCTCCCTGTCTTTTATTGCAATAGATATGTTTTTTTTTAAATTTATTTATTAGTATACAACATTCTGCTTCCATGCATATCTGCACACCAGAAGAGGGCACCAGATCTCATAATGGATGGTTGTGAGCCACCATGTGGTTGTTGGGAATTGAACTCAGGACCTCTGGAAGAACAGTCAGTGCTCTTATCCCCTGAGCCATCTCTCCAGCCAACATGTTTTTAATTGTGAGAAAAATTCAAGATATACAAACTGGAAATACAGACTGTTCTGAAAAATTTGATAAGAAATGTCACTGGAGGAATCCTGTTTAAATTCCTCTGCCTTCTGTTTTCATGTACTGAGCATAGGACCATCTTAGACTTCTGTTCAGTCATGTTTCATTGCTGTCTCAAAGAACATGTGGATTATTGTATCAGGCCAGGCATGACCACCTGTCTGGAAAGATTGAGATTGCCCTGGGATGAGGAGAGGAGAGAGAACCACAATTAGGTTGTACTAGTGAATGAGCAGGCAAACAGTGAAGGCTTCAAGAGAGAAAGCAGGAGCTGAGAATGTTTTTGCGGTGTTCAATTCCACTTAAAAGTATTCCTGATCTTTTAAGTTAGTGTCAGATCCTGGCCCATGGATGCCACCTGTCTGTTGTAAGTGTTAGAAGGCATTGTCTCATTACACCTTAATCATGGTGACATAACACTAGTACACAATTCAGTTGTCTTTGATTAATCTGAAGTTGGACAGTTTGCAAAATTTTAAGTCTAACATGAGTCTGTGAAGTATGATTATTCTTTAATCGCCTTCCCTCTATACATATCTTCATATTTTACCTTCCTTGTTCCCAACGACAAATACACAGGCACCCTTCTGGGAAATAGTCTCAGCAGTCAGTGTACAGAGTGGACCTGAAAACAACCCTATGAGGAAAGTTAAGAACACAGCAGTGTGTGGAGCTCAGAAAGGGAAGGATAGAAATAAGCAATAGCTGCCCGTGACAGCCCTTCCTCAATCCAGCTGGAGGCTCTGATGTCTGGCATCATGCTGCCTTTGCATCCATTACTTTTCAGGAAGGTGATGGTTCTTTATTTTCTAGAGAAAGAAAGAAACCTGTGATGCTTTTGAGTAAGACTATAAAAAGGAATTAGGTCTTCTGAATGGTAGTCTTTATTGCCTATCATTTAGTATCAATTCTGAGAAGAAATATTTAAAGATGGATCCATGTATTCTAAATATAATCACTTTGTGAGCACCAACAGAAAGCTAACTTATGGCCATCAGTTATTTATTCCACCCTTTTCCAGTTTGAGATTTTTGATAAAGATATCTGTTATCTCTGAGTGACCTTTGAAGGCTCTCATGCTGTGTTTGTTAGAATCCATACATCTACAATGAATCAAAACTGTTCATTACTAGGAACTCTAATTTCAATAGTTGCAGATTCACCTATATTAAGTGACAACTTAGGGAGACAGTCATTTATCACATGTTTGTTATTGGAACAAACCCTATTAATATGAAATATTCTCATTTTCAGAGAACTATTACAAGTGTGAGCCTGTCCATCAGCATGTGAAGACTGAAAAGGAGTCTTGTCAGTGTAATGAGCTTGGCAAAGTGCTTCATGACCCCTCCACATGTGCACTTTATAGAACAAGTGAAACTACAGAAAACTCCAATAACTACACATGTATTAATCCCAGGGATGCCTCTGTGGACTCATTAAACCCAGACAGACATGAAAGCAGGCACACTGGAGAAGAACCTTGCAGATCTAAAGACTGTGAGAAATCTGTAAATTTGTGTTCCAACATCACTCATGATCAGAGATTCTACCCTGCAAAGATAGAGCAGAGACAGGGAGAATATGATGACTATTTCAGCTCTGCATACCGTCTTTTGCTACAACCAGTCAATATTGGAGATAAACGACACCAATGTGGTACATGTGGGAAATGCTTCAGTGCTGCCTCAAAACTCATTGTGCATGAGAGAGTTCATACTGGCATTAAACCCTACAAGTGCAACGTTTGTGAAAAGTCCTTTACACAGATTTCAAGTTTTAAAGCACATCAAAGAATTCATAGTGGGGAGAAACCTTACAAGTGTAAAGAATGTGGAAAGTCATTTCGTTACTTGTCAGGAATTAATAGCCATCAGAAAAGGCATTCTGGAGAGAAACCTTACAAGTGCAATGACTGTGACAGACACTTTCCCCACTATTCATCATTGAGTAGGCATAGGAAAACTCATTCTCTAGAGAAGTTTCACAAATGCGAAGAATGTGGTAAGTCCTTTGTTAAATTATCACTTCTTAACAGGCATTACAGAATCCATACTGGTGAAAAGCCTTACAAATGTGAGGTATGTGACAAATGCTTTAACTGCAACTCAACTCTTAGAACACATCAGAAAATTCACACTGGAGAGAAACCTTACAGATGTGAGGACTGTGACAAATCTTATACTTGCTGCTCACATCTTAGAGCACATCAGAAAATTCATACTGGAGAGAAACTTGCTAAATGTATAGATTGTGACAAATCCTTTATCGATATCACAACTCTTAGAAAACATCGGAGAGTTCATACTGGAGAGCGACCTTACAGTTGTAAGGACTGTGACAAATCCTACAGCACTTCCTCAAATCTTCGAATACATCAGAGAGTTCATACTGGAGAGAGACCTTACATGTGTAAGGAATGTAACAAATCCTTTACCAGATTCTCATTTCTTAGAACACATCAGAGAGTTCACACTGGGGAGAAACCTTATAGATGTATGGAATGTGACAAGTCCTTTACACAGGACTCACATCTTAGAAGACATCAGAGAGTACATACGGGAGAGATGCCCTAAAGCTGTCAGGTTTGTGACAGTGTTTTTTTTCTCAATCTTATCTTTTAAGGAGACATCAGAAACATACAGGAGAGATACATGACATTTGCTAAGACTGTGACATATCCTATATCTGAGGTCTTAGAAGACATCAGACAGTTCATACTGGAGAATGGCATTACAGTTGTTTTTTTGTTTTGTTTTCTTTTTTTCGAGACAGGGTTTCTTTGTGTAGCTTTGGAGCTTATCCTGGCACTCGCTCTGGAGACCAGGCTGGCCTCTTGAACTCATAGAGATTCGACTCCCGAGTGCTGAGATTAAAGGCGTGTGCCACCAACGCCCAGCGCCCTTACAGTTGTAAGGAGTGTGGCAAATCCTTTTCCAGTTGCTCAAATTTTGGAAGGCCTCATAGTATTCATGCTGGGGTGAAACCCTACAAATGTATGGAATGTTTCATGTCCTTTACCCGTGACTTGAATCCTAGAAGATATGCAAGGGTTCATACTGGATGTAGACTTTACAGTTGTTAGGAATGTGACAAATCCTTTGTCCTCTCTTCTGCTCTATGGAAACATCAGAAAATCCATAATGGAGAGAAACCATACACATGCAAAGACTGAGCCATCCTTTATCCAGATTTTGAATCTTAGGAGACACTAGAAATGTCATGCTGGAGAGAAACTGACTGTTTAAATAATGTGACATAGCGTTTTCCACTACGCTCTGCTCACAAATCACAACAGTTTACAAAATACTCAGGGAGAGCAGATAGTTTAAATAATGTGACATAGCGTTTTCCACTACGCTCTGCTCACAAATCACAACAGTTTACAAAATACTCAGGGAGAGCAATGAAAGAGAGATCTTGATAGAGGGAGCCAGTATGGGTTTAGGGAGAAACCTTGTGCTGGAGAAATTCACAAGAACCCACATTGGTGACCCCAGCTAAGACTCCCAGCAATAGTGTAGAGGATGTCTGAAAGGACCTTCCCCTTAATCAGATTAGTGACTACCCTAAATGTCATCACAGAACCTAAATCCAGTAATTGATGGAAGCAGATGAAGTGACCACAGCCAAGCACTGGGCTGAGCTACTGGAGTTCAGTTGATCAGAGCAAGGAGCCATTATATGATCAAGGGGGTGGGTCAAGCTGATGATGGAGAAAACCACAGAGTTCCTGAATTGTCTTTTAGAGGCCCATTCCCTGTGGGATACCTTTCAAGGTGGGCTACATAAATAAGGCATAATATAAGGGGGAAGGGCTTTTTTGACTCCCCAAGGAAGGCCTTACCTCTTCTGAGGTGTAGATGGGGGGCGGGGAGCTGCGTGGTAAAAGATTGTGAAGGAGGGGTAACTGGGGTTGCTATGTAAAATGAAAAATAAAAATTTTAAATTAAAAAATATAGAAACATAAAAATAAGAACCTGGTGAAACTCTTTATGAAGGTTTATGTTTTTTAAAAATTTCCTAGAGTGTATATTAAAATGAAAGTCTTCATTTTTAACAGTGGGAAGAGCTTTTCATTTCTTTAAAGGTGTGTGCATGCTTTACTGGCAACTATGTGTGCTACATGTATGCCTGGTACAGGTGGAGGCCAGAAGGGTCATTGGATCCCCAGAAGCTGGACTTACAGACAATTGTGAACTGCCATGCATGTTGGGAAGTGAATCCAAGTCCTCTGAGAGGGAACCAGTGCACTTCACCCCTAAGCTGTGTCTCCAGACCCTAATAAAAAAAAATGTAATAAAAACATGTATCTCGGGGGCTGGAGAGATGGCTCAGAGGTTAAGAGCATTGACTGCTATTCCAGAGGTCCTGAGTTCAATCCTAGCAACCACATGGTGGCTCACAACCATCCTCTATGAGATCTGGTGCCGTCTTCTGCTGTGCAGATGTACATGGAAGCAGAATGTTGTATACATAATAAATAAAATCTTTAAAAAAATTTACTTGGTGCTAAAACCACACTTAAAAAAATGTATCTTATTCAACATCTAAAAATTGGTAATAATGCCAGGTGGGGTGTGCACTCCATTCCAGCTCTGAGGATTCAGAGACAAGAAGATCTCTGTGACATGGTAGATATCATCACCTACATATTTACTTCCACGACAGCCAGAACTACATAAATTCTTTTTCAAAACACCATCCTAGTAAATAACATAAAGTTACAAAACCTTTAGTTTCTCCTCTAAATGTGCTGCATATCTCAAAATTCACACTTCTGAAAACCATATTATGGTAGAGAGTATATACTCCACATGCCTTCTGTTTATTGGAAATTACACCCACCAAACGCATTGAATGTGACAACTCGTTTACATATCTCTGCTGAAATTGCAGAGATAAAGAAATTCATCGTTATCTGGGTGTTGCTGGTACATGCCTTTAATCCCAGCACTCGGGAGGCAGAGGCAAGCGGATCTCTGTGAGTTCCAGGCCAGCCTGATCTCCAGAGCGAGTGCCAGGATAGGCTCCAAAGCTACACAGAGAAACCCTGTCTCGAAAAACCAAAACCAACAACAACAACAAAAAACAACAAAAAGAAAATTCTCGTTAAAGAAAATGCTGATAAGATCTTCTATGCACCTTCAAATTCTTCATACTACAGTCAAACTAATCAAAGAGCAGGAAAGTAGCTGTGAAAGTGCCATCACTGGAATTATGACAGAAACTTAAAGCTCCCCAGTGGCTAAGAGTGTGGTGACACACAACTTTACTTCCAGCCCTCTGGAGGCAAAGGAAGGGGTATCCCTGTGAGTTCTAGCGCAGCACTGTCTGCACTGCAAATTGCAAGTCAGCTGTGGTTACAGAGAAAAACTCTACCTTGAAAAACCAAAACAATAAGAAAAACAATCCCTGAGTGCATGCAAGAATTCATTTTGAAGTACTTAATAAGACTTGGGAAGAAGTTACTTGAAACTTTATGACACAGCTTCCATTGACTGCCACTACACTTTCACTAAGGGAAAAGACTTGTGGGACCCACCCTCAGCCAAGATGAAATGATAATTGCCCCAATCTTACAGAGTTGCTTGCTCTTAGTAGGTTTTGAACAGTTGTGATTCTATGCATTACCAATGACCTACTGCAAGTGGAAACGTCTTTCACCAATGTTGAGAGTAGTACATACTGGTCATTTTAAGCATGAATATTTAGATGTCAGATTAACACTCATCTTTATCAAAACATCAATAGTTTCTGTTCTACAACCTATAGATTGCAAATTGTGTGTTTTGCATTGCTTTGGGTTTTGAAGCACACACAAGGTTTCTCAGCTGGACCATGGTGTTACACAACTTTAATCCCAGTATCTGAGAGTCAGAGGGAGGTGCTTGTCTGTGAGATCTAGACCAGGCTGGTCTACAATGTGAGTTCCAGGACAGCCAGGACTGTCACACAGTGAAACCTTGCCTCAAAAAGCAAAAACAAGCAAACAAAAGGACAGTGTTTCTCAGAGCTATGAATCCAGTTTTGGGTCTTGCACTGTAGACCAAGCTGGCCTTGTACTCACAGAGCTCTCCTTGCCTCTGCTTTCTGAGTACTGGGATTAAGGGTGTGCACCACAACCACTTGGCCTTTGCTTTTTACCATGGCATGAAACCAATCAAGATAAAATGTGATGCCAGTTTTCCCTAGTACGCCTCATGGCTAGCAGGGTGGTATTATAAGATGCATGTCCCGGGGGTAAACCAGACTGTTGACATCATTTCTTTGAGAATGTCCTGCATGGGACCTTAAAGTGCTACAAACACTGGTCCGCAAGGAGAGTTGCCTGGTAAGTTCAACGTTGCTTTCTATCTTACAACCACAGTGTTTGGTGTCTTCAGCTACATCAGGTACCTATGGTGGCCAAGCAAGAACACTGATAATGACTTCTTTTGTTTAGGGTGACAATGGGGCCGCGCTGACCAGTAAGTAGTAGGCAGATAACTGCAGCTACAGGCAGGTCGAGGGTGCTGCCTGTCACCTGGGTGCTGTAGCCTGGAATGGGAAGCCCCAACCCCAGACATTTCCAAACAGCTCTCTCAGCAGCACCTGTAGTGGACACACCACTCTTTGCACCCACAGTCCTTTGTGGGGACTCAGGGCCTCAGAGGTCCCTGCCCTCCTGCAAGACATATGAGATCTCTTGGAGGCTGGCCTCTGTGGAGAGGAAGAATTATGGGCACAAAGCCCCCCCCTGCCACACCAGACAATGTCCCTGGGCCCTGAGAGCACTGAGTTCCAGGTACATTTCCTATTGGATTTCTACCTAGAGGATTTAAAAACACAAGAGGCAGAGCAGGCTGCTCAGAGAGCATCCACCATATACCGAAACCTGAGTCAAGGAGGATTCTGGGAAATGTAGTAAAGTCTTGTGATCCAGGCAGGAAGTGGCATAGCAGGCAGACACAAAATATAATCATGAATGAGCAGGAAGTCGGTGTCTTCCTCCTCCTCTCTGTACAGTCGCCATGTGAGCCCAGAAAGACAGGATGTGTGTTGCCGGCGTCCTCAATAAGATAAGTTTATAAAATATATAGATTAATAATTATGGTTGATACTTAAGACAGAGATAGCAGATAAGAAATCCTAGTCATTGGCGAGCAGCACTGTACCTAACATAAGTCTCTCTGTGTTACTTGGGACCTTAATCTGGCAGCAGGCAGAACTTGGGCTGCTGGCAGTAAGACTTATCGTTACAGATAACCATGACCCGGTAAGGAGAGTGTCAATAAACAGCCCTGGTGACCAGGAGCAGCATCAATTACTCTTGTGGACCACCTCTGTTCAAAATTTTAAAATCATATTTAATATTAATTTGTAACATGGGGAGATTTCATCAGGCTTCTTCACAAATCTTTACTTTTGGTGGACCCACCCACACTTCATCCCATCTCCCTGCCCCATTCCCCAGTTAAACACTTAGCACACGCATTATCCAATGACTCTTTTATCACACATTATTTATTCTACTATCGTCTCTTACCGTATTTTTTACTTGGGGTGCAAGATTTTATTTGGGTTCCCACGTAGCTTCGTCACAGAAATCTGAGTTGATCTTTCAGCAGCCCCCTCTCTACTACATATTTGAATGATTCCACCCCAAGAATTCCCCCTCTCTAATTTCATATAGCTTATATTCACTATCTATCCTCTCTTCCCGAATCTCTCTTCTAACGGTCCATTTCTGGATCCCTAGATTATACATGTGGTTTTACTAGAAAACATAAAACAAAGGTTTGCAGCTTAGAGACTCATATATGAGAGAACATATGATGTTTAACTTTTGGGGGCCTAGGTATCTGAGTTCATCATAATTCCCAGGCACCTGCATGCACACTTTCACTTTTATTGACACCTGAAGAATATGCTGGGTTCCATAGGAAAGTATCACTTTTTCACTGACCCGCATTTCTGTCCATGAACATCTAGGGTGATTCCATTCCCTTGATGCTGTCAATAAAGTATCAATGAACATGATAAATAAGTGCTCATTTGTAACATGGCAAGGACTTAGAGTTCATGCCCAGGAAGGGTTATTTTGTATCGGCTTCCTATGAGAGTAAATCCTTCCATCTTGGAGGAATCTACTTAAAACTTGGGGCATGAAAAGAGGTACGGAAATGGGGTGCACTGAGGCAGCTGTTTCCAGCTTCCCAATGCTATAAGTCTTTAATACCGTTCCCCATGTTGTGGTGACTCCCATCCATAACATTATTTTGCTATATCATAGCAGTAATTTTGCTACTGTTATGATTGTAATGTGAATATCTTATATGC